CACGCCCACACCCACACTCACACCCACACCCACACCCACCCACCCACACCCACCCACCCACACCCACACCCACCCACACCCACACCCACCCACCCACACCCACACCCAAAAAAAATTAAAATCTGCTAATCGAAGAAAAAAACTGTTCGTCTTTTTGGTTATTAGAATACCATCATGAAAAAACTCTTTTAATTGAGAAAGTTGTTTTCTTATAGGTTTGAAATAATCCTTAGATAAGACGGAATAATGAAGCTATGTTGAAACATTCTTATGACAAAAAAAAGAGAATTATTTTAATTAAATTCTTTTGTTTAATTTATATCGTTTTTATTTTGTGGTATGTTTATTTATGTTCTTCTTGAACGTTATTATCAAATGTCTTCAGTAAATTTTCTTTTATTTCGAATTCTTATTTTTTTTTTTTATAATTAAAATTTAATAGATAATAAATTTTTATCAATGGCATCTTATTTGCTGGACTTGTTGTTTATTAATTCTTATTCATTTTGCTTATAAATATCAAAGTCGAAAAGAAATTCATAATGAACAACTTTGTCGTCTAAATAATAATCTTATTCAAACTGAAGCTACATTTCATCGTGTATCAAGAGAATTAAAATGAGCTCGTTCAAAATCTCGTTCACGTTCTATTCGATTAAGACAACGAGAAAATAAAAGTATATATCCATGTACGTGAACATAAAAGATTTGAAAATAAAGTTTTTTTGATTTTTTTTTTCGTTTATTTAGTGATTCAAGATAAAACTCAATTTATCGATCATAATGAAAATAAAGAAAATATTCAACAAGTAATAGAATGATTTAATCTATTAAATAGATTAAAATTATATTTATTTTTAGAATAATTTGATTCATGATGAAGATGATCAATCATTTTTAAATCATACAAATAAACGTCATTTTAGTCTTCTTGTTTCAAGGTACGTATTCTTTTTTTTTTGTCTTTCTATAAAAAAAACAAATATACGATTTATTTATTTAAAAATATCAACTAGGTCATCAAAATCACCACGAATTTTGTTAGGATCAAAACAGATCAATACCAATATATAAATTATTAAAAGTCAAATATTTTTCTTTGTCTTCCTATGTTTTTTTTGTGTATCCATTTATTAAACAAGTCATATTAATTATTCTGTTGGATACATATCCAGATTACGACATTGTGTCAGATTATATACTTCTAATTCCTTACGATCTATTAAACCTTCCTGTGGTTTCATTGTCTTTTGAAGTTCTTTTGCTATCTTAAAAAAAAAAAGGTCAATAAATACAAAAAATAGTATTCAAATAAAATCGTTTTTAATTTTTACTTGTTCATTTTTTTCCATGACTCGTAAAATATTTCCACCAATAAGTTTAATTATATCATCATGTGTCCAATTTCCTTGTGATAATAAATATGCAATTAATTTTGGATATTTTGATACATCTTCAAGATCATTCGGTGTTCTAGAATATTAATATAATAATATGTAAAAAAATAAAATAAAAATAAAAACCAAAACAAATCAATACATACTCCCAAATACCATCATAATCTCCACCAAGACCTACGCTATCAATACCGACAATATTTCTTATATGATTAATATGTGCTAAATGAACGAATGATAGATAATAAAATTTAAAAAGAAAATTATTTTACCAGCAACATCAACTACTGTTCCAACATTTGTCAAATTACATGTAATAAAAATAGGTACAAATGTAACCATAACTATACCTTGATTTTTTTTCTACAAAATAAAATATGAAAATATTTCTCTATTTTAAATCGAAATTAAATACTTACGACTAATTTAAGTACATCATCTTGAACATTTCGTATATGATTACATAATGAATATGCGGATGAATGACTAAATATAACTGGTGATTGAGTTATATTAAGTACATCAATCATTGTTTGTTTTGAAACATGTGATAGATCGACTAACATGCCAAGTCGATTCATTTCTATTATAATTTTTTTACCAAATTCTGTTAAACCATTGTTTTTTATTAATGTTGAATTAACTTCATCGACTTGACTTTGATCAGCCCTTAATAAAAACAAAAGAAAAGAACAACAAGTTTAAATTCATTAATCAATTAGAAAAAAAAGAATTTTTTTTCATCTTTTGTTTCTTTTTACCATGGAGTATTACAATTATGTGTTAAAGACATATATCGTACACCCAATTGATAGAAAAGTCTCAAAATAGAAAATGAACTTTCAATAGCTTGTCCACCTTCAACACCAAATAAACTTGCTATACGTTTAACAGAAAATGCTTGTCGAACTTCTTCAGCTGTTGTAGCCATTTGAAATACATCTGAATATTTAGCTATAATTCGATTCATAAGATCAATTTGTTCCAAAAAACTTATTGTTGCATCCTTTCCTTGATGTTCACAATCCGTATAGATTGACCAAAACTATAATGAATTTTAAACTCTTTTGTTTTTGATCAAATATGAAAACAAATATTCGAAACAAACTTGTCCTCCAACTTGCCCTTGTCGTAACCGTGTTATATCTGTATGTGATGGTGCACCATTTTCCATGTGATATTGTGTCATATTGTAAAAGTCAAGATTATTTATATTATTTTGAAAGTTAGTCCGAATAAGCCAAGCCAAATCATTGTGTCTCGAAAAAATAGATAGAAAAATTGAATGTATAAATATTGTGGAAATAATAACTAATATTGCAGCCAGAATTAAAGAGGAATGAGTGTAAGCTCAATAACTCGACAATAGCAACAGTTAGCAGTTTGCGATTTTCGGAAGTCCACAGAGGAGAGCTCTGAAAGTCTTTTTGTCTGATACTATATAAGACAAAATTATTTTAAAATCCAGCCATTATTATGAATTTTTTTAAAAAATTTTTGCAAAGATAATGAATTGTAAAATAATTTTGTCTTATATAGTATCAGACAAAGTAACGTCCGAAGTTCTCCTCTTTCGATTGCTGAACATTGAACGTAGCTTATTGTTGCCACTGTCGAGTTCTTCAGGTTACACTCAACCCTGTCTAATTCTAGTCGAGACATTAGGTGTAAAATTTTACATAAAGGAATAAAATTGTATTGAGAATCATTAATAACAGTAATTTTTATTCAATTTTCTTGTGAAAAAATACTCGACATTTCTCTATTGAAGAATTTTAATATTGTCTTCATTACTTTAATGATTCAACAAATACAATAGTTAATACTAATGTACGAAATTCTTCTTTCAAAACAATGATTAAGATTATTTTCTTGTTTAAAATATAATACTCGTTTAATGTCATATATGTTCATAGATAATATCAAACTTTTATGTTTTTACTTCGTTTTAAAGTTTTAATGAAGAAATATTTACATAAGGGTTTTCGATGTGACGATTTATCTTACTGAGAGTGTGGGTGTTGGAATCTTCTCTTTACTCACAACCCACATACTCAAACTCAGACTCACACATCTACACCCTCAACGTTTCAATAAGTTGGTATTTTTATCTTTCGATATTTTCACTATCTTTTTCTTCAACATTTTTCTTTTCGATAAAAGTAGGATGTACTGATATGACCAATGGAGTACGTAAGATGATTATTCGATGCTTTGATCAATGATATATGATGCTTAGAAAAATAAAGCAAAAAAAACCTGTTGTTTTTTTGTATGTCTATTGTCCAGACTATTGATCAAAGTTGATATACAAGTCGACAGATAATTTATTGACGTTTTTAGATTAGCTTGTGTTTCCTAGATCGATTTAGATAAATCCAAATTGACATGATAAGAATAGTATATCAGAAGAAAATCTTTATATCGATTTATACCGAGTGCACTTTTTTAAAAGAACAATCCTGATTAACAATTAGAATGGAAGTAAAATGAATTGTTCGTCACAAAGTATGTACGAACATTTAAAAATGAGATTTTACAGTTATTTTTTATAAATGAAATGCTTAATCACAAAAACAAATGGTTCGTAAAATTATTGAAATATTTCATATTATACACCAAGCAATTTGCTACATAATAAGAACATTCTCGAATACATATCGATTCACAATAGAACATAGATGATTACCAAAAATCTTATAATAGAAAACTATGAGCTTGTAAGAGATAATAGAAAGATCTTTTTAACTTTCTCATATTGACTTGAATATTTACCAAAAAATATCTTGATTGTATCATTATCAACAGTGAAAATATATTAGTCTTACCCATCGATTAATGGATTCTTTTCAAGTATTTGATATGCTTGTCTTTCAACTGTTAATGGAGTAGATTTTTGTCTAGCAACAACAATTCCAACAGTAATACCAACGATAAGGCCTATGACCACTATAGTTAGTATACTACCAATAATAATCAGCTGTTTTTTGATTAGTGCCATTAATTTGTTCTTAATGATTGATTATGTTGTCTTTATCAAAAATCACTATTGATGTAACTTATTTTTACCAGTAGTTGTCTGTATAGTAACAGTAGAAAAAGAAAATGAATATGTTTCGATTATAGAGCAAAAGGAAAGAGATAATAATATTGTAGGAAAACAAAATTTATGAGAAAAGACAAACGAAAAGATCAATACGAAAGCTATTTTTTTTTATTTTGCTGGCGCATGTGACACTCAGAAGTGCTTACATAAAACATAAGGAAAAGGTACTTTATGACATTAAAATCAAATGTAACAAGTATAAGCTGAGTGTTTTAAAATTCGTTGTTGTAATATCGATGTCTTGACGAATTGATAATGCTGGTAGAGCGATTAAGAGATGAGAACCATAAAGACGAAAACGAAAAGAAAGGAAGAAAGAAAAAAAGGCAAAATAAGGAAAAAAAGAAAAAAAAAGGAGAAGTAAAAACAAAAAAAAAGGAGAAGTAAAAACAAAAAAAAAAGGAAAAAAACGAGTGAAGGGTGTGGGTGTGGGTGTGGACCTTCTCCTCAACGATACCCACCCACACCCACACTCACACACACACCCACACCCTTTCTCTCTTTCAATAATACTAAACGCTAATATATAATATGCTAGATTTATTCTCTATTACTTTTGTGATCATACAATCTTCCACAACTAGCGTCACTTATCCGCACCAAAACGAAAAACTAAGAACTTTATTGATTCTAAGAAAATTCGTACGTCAAATAAATAAACTAAAGATTCTATGACTAAACTAATTTTAAAAGACGAATTCAGTTAAACGCATTGCATTGCTTGAAATAAACGCGACATAATGAATTACTGTTGAATACAATCAAACTCGTTCAGAAAATTACGCATAAAAATATGTTTTCCTAATTGATCTTTTTGTGTTCATACGTATTTTACTCTTGAAGGTGTTTTTTAAGAGAGTGTGCGGGAGTGTGGATGTGGATCTTCTTTTCACCCACATTCACACCCCACACAACCCTGTGTGCAAAAATCACTTTCTTTATCAATCCGAAACAAATAAAATTTTCTGTTCAACTTTTGTGGACAATACCAATACATCGATGATAGATAATGTGCATACTGTCAAGCTGCATTTGACATACTTAATGCTCGATGTTATGTCACAAGAGGTAATGTCCTTTCAAATTTTCGATAGATTCTACTTTCTGTCATTGAATCTTCTCAAATCTCATCTATGAGAGCTACATTTTATGTTTTTGTACAGAGTCATCCATCAAACTATTCATTGGTTCGAAATGTGTCAAACTTGACAATTGAAATGGATCAAAACAAGAATTTTGTGCTCTTTTTGATCGATTATAGGTTTTTCGGCCCGGGCTTAAATCGATCTCATTAACCGAAATGAAAACTTTTAGTTTTTTAATTAGTTTCTACATTTCATACTGCTGAGCACTACGAAATATAGCAACTTGTGTGCGGCCTTAGACATTTTGTCTGTTTTTATTCGAGAGTCGAGAAGTAATCTTTGGAAAATCCAAAAAGTTAGTTTGGACACAACTTATGGACTGACGTTTCTGGTGACCATGTTTGTTCATTTTGTCTTTCTGGAAAGCATTTCAGAAGAGTCAAAAACTATAGGTCGCGAGCACAACTCGAATCTAGGCTTAGAAATGTTGTGTCTATTTTTGTTCACTAGTAGTGAGGGACTTTTTAAAAGACCTGAAAAATTATTTTTAACAGTGAGGCAACAAGGTTTTGTTTATCCTATAAATTCCTTTTAGAACATGTCAAAAATTATTGAAGTCAATGCATTTTTCAAGAGCTTCTTTGAACGTAAAACGGTTGTCGATTTTTCAAAAATGAATATTTAGAAGAAAAAAAATAAAAATTGAGGTGCCTTGTCGAAAGATAAAAAAACTTCACTTGGTGCATTTTTTAGAGTAGCTTCTGATCTGCAAGCTGATATACATAAATAAAGATCTCAACTTTTAGTTTCGAATTGCAATAGTGAAAACACAAAAATTTTCCGTCTAAACTAATTTTTTGGACTTTGAACAAATTATTTCACTACTTTCAAACAAAAACTGAGACAAAATTTCTAAGTGCATATTCGAAAAACGTACAGAATTCTCGTCTTAACTCATATCTTTTGACTCCTTCGAAATACGTTAAAAATGAACAAACATCTTGTCCAAAAAAAATTCCGATCACTCGTTATCATGCATTTCTTTTTTTCTACATGATATAGTATATATTCCTTTCATAAAATTTTTAAATAGAATGATTCATATTTAATCATTGGAATTTTTAAAAAGTATATCATAGAACTTGATCTCTTTAATCAAGAAGATTAAATTCTAATGTCAATTTGATTTCTTTTTTTTTTGGCCTTCATTATAATAAATTCTTCTTTACATGCAGTTAGAATAGATAATTATTAATGACATTAAACTTTATTGAAGAGAAAAAAAAGAACTGAAAAGTGCAAGAGAAAGAAAAAAATTATAATGTGCATGTTAATGTTTAAAGAAAACAAAGAACTTCTAGAAAACGAAGAAAATAAAATGAATGAGTATCGAAAGAGCAAGAGTATATCAATAAAGAAGTGGCTGTATACTTTATATACATAGTTCATAGTTTGCATTGAATTTATGTAAAATGATGTTCAATATGCTCGTTCTTAAAATCGCGTGTCATATGTGGTGGAAATTTCCAAAAACACATTGGACAATTATTTATTTCATCATCAGCATCATTAAGTGATCTTTGTAATGATATGTTTTTATTTTCTTGATCATTTTGATCTTCTTTTTGGGTGTGGGTGTGGGTGTGGGTGTGTGTGGGTGTGGGTGTGTGGGTGGGTGTGGGTGGGTGTGTGGGTGTGGGTGTGGGTGTGGGTATGGGGTGTGGGTGTGGGTGTGGGTGGGTATGGGTGTGGGTGTGGGTGTATGGGTGAGTGTGGGTGTGGGGTGTGGGGTGTGGGGTGTGGGTGTGGGTGTGGGGTGTGGGGTGTGGGTGTGGGTGTGAGTGTGTAGGTGTTACTATTATCATTCACACCCACACTCACACACACACCCACACACACACACCCACATCCACACCCACACCCTCAGCCTGCCATGTTTGATAGATTTGTGTGAACGTGCAAATAGCAGCCAGATGAGCAATGCTATTGGCAAAATAGTGTCGACATTGACTGATCATGGGTGTCTTAGTTACTGTACTATCACAGACGGTTGAGAAAACGACTTTTGTAAATTGCTCGTAGCTTTTCGTTGCAGGTTGTAGTATCTGCTGGTCAACAGTAAAGTCTGACATGAAAACATTGTCTTGTTTGTTATCCGTTGTTGGATCTGAGCAAATAAAGATGAAATAAATTAATTATGATAAACAGGTGGGTGTCAAAAATTCGTACCGGTCGTTGGAACATTGCTCACTGTTTCAATCATGGTCTCTGTTCGAGGTACTCTTCCAATCGAGTCAAATGAATTCTCACTATCCTCAAAAGCAAATTTAATTTCACTTTCCATACATTTCATACCTTATTATTTTCAACAACAATCTGAATATACTCGTTCTGTCAATAGTGTATTCAACATTCACCGTATGACGTCGTTTTTATTTCATTTGTAAGCGAGTCCATTAATTCCTTTGAAAATCAAAGCTTGGCCTTTTATCGAACACGTTAATTTTTTATATTTCGAAGCAGAGTAACGAATTGCGTGACATTTCTTGCACAATACTCTGATCAAGAGCTCAGTTTAAAAAAGATTATGGGAGCCAATATTTTATAATATTTACACCAAAAATCAAATGAAAACAGATCAAACCTATCTCTTGACAAGAAGACAAATTTAATCTGCTAATCCCAACTTTTGCTTTTCAGCAATCGATGTTATTTGTCAAAATGAAAAATGAGGATGAGGGTGTGAGGGTGTTCAATTGATAAACAGATCAATCTATCTCTTGAAGAAAAGACAAATCAATCTGCTGTTCTCAACTCTTGCTTTTCAGCAATCGATTTATCAGTCAAATTCAATTGACTAGTTGTATTTAATGTGCTTTGAAAATCAATTCAAGAATAATGTAGAGTTCAATTTGCCGACGCATTTCGTGTTATTTTATTTAAAAATTAAACACTCATCAGGGCTCTGCATATTAGCACAGAAAAATATAATAAAATAAAATAAAAAGATGAAAAGATAGAAATCAAAGAAAATTAAGAGATAAAAAGATGATGAGGGATATCTCATAGAAAAAATCAGAATGAGGAAAATCTTATATTAAAAAATCAAAAATGGGGCGCATACATCATGATTAATTTTTTGAAATGGAATAATTAAAGGAATATGATGATCGGATGAGGGTGTGAGTAAAAGAAAGATCTGTACCCACACCCACACCCTTTTTTTCGAAAGCATATTTTTGAATATATGGAAAGACATTTAATCGTACTTTGGCAATATCTGATTCAAATCTTCCTTCCTTATTTCCGAACACCTTCAGCATTTGTATCGAGCGGTCAAACTATAAACAAGGAAAGAAGTTTGAAATGATACGTTTCCTGCGAAAACACAATCCACTCATCCTACAGTAGAAGGTGTAGATGTGGGTAAGAGTGTGGGTGTGGGATGTAGAAGTGGGGTGAAATACGGGTGTGAGTATGGGTGTGAGGGAGTAGGAGATTTACACCCACATCTACATTTCTTGTACTCTAAGAATTTCATCAGACACTAAAAATTACAAGATTTAACAATAGCAGCTAGATATTCGGATCGAGCAGAACAATTATATGCGAAAGGAGATTAGAAATAATTTTTTATTTTGAATAAAAATAAAGATCAGTAAAATTGCTTTGTTGTTTACGATTATCGTAATTCGGATGCAATACTTTGTGAGCGTTGTGTACTACAATTTCAACAGTTAGATCGTCCAATTTCAATTGATTTCTATCTTAAAGCACATGTGAATAACTTTCAACAGACAACTGAATTACTAGGAACAATAACAAATATTCTTACAAAAATGAAACAATACAATAGAATTAATCAAGTTGCATCCTATCGACTATTACTCAAATTATTCAATGAAAATAGTGTTGCTGGTCGAAACATTTTGGATAAAGCTGGTCAAAACTATCCATCAGTTGATTAATGGGAACAACGACATAATATGAAATTATTAATTGATACATTTGATCAAGATGATAAAGATTTAATTATTTAATGTTGTCAAGTAACACAGTTTTTATTAATTATTTATTTATACTGTTTTATTTTTTTTTTAAATAGAAATCTTGTTTTATGGTAATTGAACCTGAATTTGTTCATTTAATTAGACGACGGATTTGTCCTATAACAAATAATGTAAATCAACAACATACAACTAATCCTACGACTTCATCAGTCAATGACATTAAATCAATACAATTAGGTGATGACGATGATAATTTACGTTAATTAATAATTTCCATATATTCTTCTCGATATTTACTTGATACCTTTTTTTTTCAAAAAAAAACTTTTCCTGTCTATTGTTGTTTCATGTTCATAATAAATAATTGTTGTTTGATATTTCAATCTTAATTTTCATTATATAAATATGTTGAAATATGCTAAAACAAGGATTTTTCCATGTATACTCTCTGTAAATAGAGAGAGTTGATTGAAATATTCAGTCTAGAAAAGTGATTCAAGCTGCTTTGAAGTCATCATCGTGAAAGTCTTACGGGACAGACATTTTACGAATCTCGAACATTATTTTATTTTTGAAATGTTCAATGAGAGATTATGATATTGGACTTTTATTTTCAGAAAAAATTTTAATTCTCTTTTCAATACGAGACTTGAAGAAAATTAGGAAAACTAATATGTTGTATCGGGAGAAGAAATATAAAAGTGTTTCAATAATTTGAATCAATCGATTGTTTTGTGCATTCACGAAGGTCAGAAAAGTTATTCTTAATTTCATTATATCTCATAGTATGAATTATGTTCACTTTTTCACTATACTGAAAATCAGAATATAGTCGTTTCGAACATACAAAAACTAGCCACACCCGCACCCAACTTTGTTTTTTTTCCGAAAAAAAACTCCTAGCTTTAGTTTTAGTTCTTCAGTACATTTTCAATCACGCGAAAACACAAATGACTTTTAGTGTTTCAGTTATATCATCGATCGATTTTTATCTGAGAAATATTTTTGTATCATGGATTAAAAAACAAAATTTTTTCGAGTTGGTTTTAAAATTGAAAGTATTTCATCAAGAGTGTGTATGTAAAATCTAGATCTTCTCTTCGACAAAACCCTTTCCAAAGTTTGCTGTTCATACTATTTTATTAAACTTCAAAACTCTGTTAGGTACAGTAAAGTAGTATGCGCAATCACTTTTAATAAGAAGAAATACCAAACCAATTTACATTCCATTTGTATGTTTGAGAATAATTATGCATGGCTGTATTACTCCAAGCAACCGATGGATAAGCATAAATTGTAAATGAAATATTTGTTGAAAAATAAATAGCAGTATAACTATCTAATGACCAATGACCGCTAGAACCAGCCATACTAGTGAAATAGTATGGAGTTGAAGGAAAACTACAATTCGTCGTATCAATATTCATTGTGATTCCGTTGGTGGAATATAGTTGCCAGTGTGTATAGGATGAGATTCCTGCACAATAATATGTTTGCTTAGTTGCTGTTGTTGTATTCGTTAGATTCACTTGTGTCTGAGCTAAAGAAGTATAAGGAAGCATGTTATTGATGAGTTATATCTGATAAATAAGTAAAACTACAATGTAAATTCGTTCGTTTCTTTTAAGTTTATCTTCAAGAGAACAATATAGCAAATGTTGGTTTCATCTGAGATTAAACAAATTATGATAAAAAAAATAATTATCTGAAATTTTTTTAGTGGTAAGAGTCATGAATGTATAGCTTTGTAATGCAAATCTAGTCTCGTCTATTTATCAAAACACCATACCTAGTCATAAAGATTGTATGTAGTATTTCTTTTTTCTCCTCTCATAACAACATCAGAATGTGATGCCAAAAAAATTCTGTGTGTGTGTTCTTTTTAAAAAAATACTTAAGAACAAGATCAAACGTCGTTTACGATTTTTCGTAGCTGTCAAAATTGAAACTAATCTAACACTGAGAAAAGATATTTGTAATGAAAATTGCGTTTTTGAATGATACTCTTCCAATCTAATGAAAAAGAAACATACTCACCTGTTGTTGTCGTTGTTGAGTCGCTGGCATAAGCTAAAATAGATGAATAAACACGATAAAATATGAGTTTCATTTGCATTCAGAAAACAAAATATTTCGGTGATTGACCATTCTTTTCTTTTTTCTAGTGGGATATCAATTATAGAAAACTTTTAACATATGAGACATAGTTATGTGTATATTTAGGAAGACTAAAATGGTGAGGTTGCATTTATCTACACTTACATTGTTGTTTAATATATAAGGCAAGCACAATAACCATTGGAATGCTAACTACCAGTATGTATATAATATATATCACGAAACATAAATCATAGTCTGATAGATGGGACGCTCTTTTTTCCGTTTCTTTTCCCATGATGAATCGTTTATGATAGATCTAAAACTGTTGTAAAACACAAGGTTGATTGACTTCTTTTTGTCGTTTGAATATTACGTATTATGAAATTAATGTATTAGTAATCGTACGAAACATTTTCATAAATAGTCTGAATGTAGTTAGTCGTATCTTAGACATAATCAAAGAATAGAAAAAAACAGGATAAAATACCAATCATAATACTCAAAATATCGAGTATTACAACTCAAAAATAACTTCATCTAAGCAACGTTAGTACTAAGGAATGTAGATGTCTTTTGATCGTATTCTCAACTAAAAGTAAAAGCATAAATTCGTCAATTAGAAACAAGAGACATAAAAAGTAAAAGGATTTCGATAAATATTTTTACGAAGTATCAATTCAATTGTTGAAGAAGTAGAACATACTAAGAGATATAGTAAAACAAAATAGAAGATGAGACAAACTAAAACCGACTGTTATCGTTATTAATCATTTTTCTTATTATGCTTGTTTGATATGTTTTTCTGAAAGATTATTTTCACGAATAGAATTTCTACTGAACTGTCTTTATTCATAGTATTTTTCTTATTACTATTATAGTCAAGTATTGTTTAAATTAGAACATAGTGTTCTAGAGATTTTTTTTTCATTAGTTACAGACATTCGTGCTACGAGATTAGATCTATAATTAAATGAAATATCAACAAAATGTAATGTTTGATTTATTTGAATAACTTCTTTTATGTTTGTTC